GCACGCTACAAGCTGCATTGTCTGTCAAGGGAGAAAGGATTACCCTGCCTCTCATGGGGAGACTCGTGCCCATGTTGTGTGAACAACTCTGCACGAGCACCTAAGGAGGCTTACCTCCTTACCAGCCCGTGGTGGCGCGTACGTGTCTCTACTGAGATGTACGAAGGGATTGACAACCTGAAACCCTTTACGACCGTGCCGGGAAGACTTTCTCCGGCGGTCCTTCTGCGGCACAGGATGTGCCGCGTCGTACTGCTCGACCAGACCCAGAACGTCAATCATCAGTTGGGAGCGGGGCTCCCAAGAATCCCAGGACGGGGGATAGCCGCGCCATCGGACGAGATAACTCGTCCGACGTCCGTTCACGTCGTGGTGGTTTAACAGCCGCTCACTCAGATAGCGCTGGCCACCGCGAGAGTCCTCTAATGGAGGTGGAGGAGGAGGAAAGACGCTCTCCACACGATCATGTGGATCGGTGTGTTCCCGAGAGCTTCTTTGATCGCGTAACGCAAGGGTTACGCGACGATCTCGAACATGAGCGGAATAGGCGTCTCCAAATGGCGGACACTGCCTCGAAGCATCGAGCTGAGTTTGCCTTTGCTCAGCTTGAGAACGAGAGATCTCTGACATCTCTTTGTGACGAGCTAAGGGTAGCTCGTGGGATTGTTGATCGGTCTCGGGATGAGATAACTGCTCTTCAGACCCTTGTTGATATCCACCATCGGGAGCACAAGGCTCTCTGCGAGATGCTTGAGCGCAAGGGCGTTCTTCATCGGAAGAAGCAGCGCACTGATGGTACGGCTTAAGCCGACCAACGTACAACGTGGGATGCGTTCGCATCTTACGTGGCTGTTCGATCGTGTATACGTTGCCTAGGCGGTGCAATACACGAAATGGGCCGATGTACTTGGGTAGTAGTTTAATGCTACCCAAGTTAGTCACTACATGCTTTGGTAGATTAACCGTAGACAGTAGGACTAAGTCACCTTTATTAAATAAAAGGGTGTTTTCCCTTCCATTCTTGTCAGCGTTTTGCTTTTGCTTATCCACCGCTTCGGCGATGGAGTCTTGCAAAAAACGGACTACCGTTTCACGAGCCAGTATGAACTCAGCTGATGACTCGTTAGCTTCAGTGCGCTGTGAGTGCACTGCAGCAACATCAACCTTTTCTTCAGTGAGGGCTTCCGCACTCTCACTGGCATCATCTTCTTCGATATCGATGTTATCGATGTCGGCATCGCACGCAATGACCTCTTCGTCAGAGCGTGATGAGCGTGAACCAAATCGGTTTTTGCTCGCGCGAGTCCCTCCCCCCCTTAAACCAGAGTTGCACTCTAGTAAGGTGGGTACACGCGGATGGCGTAAGCCATTCACGTGAAACGGTGTATGTGTCGTGGACGCATGCACCGAGTTGTTAATGGCAAACTCTACCATTGGCAAGAACTCACTCCAACTCGTAAAGGAGTGTACGTATCCTCGAAGTGTCTCTTAGAGGACACGATTGGCCCGTTCCGTCGGACCATCTGACTCTGGATGATCCGATGTCGACATCTTCAAGCGCGTTCCGAGTAATTTGAACACGGAACGCCAGAAATCAGCAGTGAATCGCGGATCTCTGTCTGATACGAGTTCACGGGGCAACCCATGAAGTCGGAAGATGGTGTCGATAAAGACACAAGCACAGCCACTTGCCGTGATTGTCTCTGGTACAGCCACAAGGTGTACCATTTTGCTGAATCTGTCAACAAATACGAGAATACCCGTATTCCCGCGTGCGTCTTTAGGTAACCCGAAGACGAAATCCATTGAGATGGATTCCCAGCACTCAGCCGGAACCGGTAGAGGCTGTAATGGTGCACGCAGTGAAGGACTTGACTTCACTCGTTGGCAGACTTCGCATGCGCGAACATACTTTCGCACAAACTGATACTGGCGGGGCCAGTAAAAGTCTCGACTCACCGTGAGATATGTTTTCTCTCGGCCACGATGTCCTCCTATAGGAGCATCGTGATACTCGAACATGATCCGAAAACGCAGATCAGTATCATCTGGAATGACAACACGTGGTGTGTCACCAGTAACGGCTGTTTAATACAGTAAACCGGTACGAGTGGCTTATCGATCTGATGCAGATTGATACGCAGGCGACAATCGTTTCAACGATTCTCGAGATGGTTGGGAGAGATGTGTCAACAACTTCACAATCTCATTATCTTGGGCGTACGCCCGCCTCACATCATCATGTGACGTTTAAAGATGGTATGGTAGACGTCATAACCGCAACAGTGACTGTCTCACTGTTGGGTTTCGCGACTGTTTCAAAGTCAAGACGACGTGAGAGTGCATCAGCGACGACATTGAGTCGTCCTGGTTTGTACTCGACCGTAAAGTTGTATTCGCAAAGAATGACAACCACCGCGCCATTCGTTGTAAAAGGTGCGGGCTGTTCACTGCCGTGCGTAATGACGCATGGTCAGTGTAAACAATGAAGGGTCTATCTCCTAATAGATAGACTCTGAACTTCGCGAGTGCATACTTCATGGCAAGGAGTTCCTTGTCATGCACTGGATAGTTCCGCTCAGCTGGTTGCAGCTGACGCGACTGATAGCAGACGACGCGTTCAACGCCTTCAAGATCGTACTGCATTAATGCACAGCCGATTGCGAAATCGCTGGCATCCTAGGCCACATGAAATGGCCTGTCCTGATCGGCTATTGCTAGGACTGGGGATTGTATCAAGCTCTGCTTGATACCCTCAAAGGAGCGCTGACATTCAGCGTTCCATAACCGCCTCTCGTTCTTTTTCAAAAAACGAGAGAGGTGTACAGTCATCTCGGCGTAATTGCATGAATACTTGTGCAAATACGCCGCTAGCCCAAGGAATTTTCGAAGACCTTTGACATCAACCGGCACAGGCCAGTCGGTGATCGCCTTGATCTTTTCGGGATCAGTACGTACACCGTTCTTACCAACGATGCACCCAAGAAGTAGTATTTCGCTTGCTGCAAATATACAATTCTTGAGGTTGGCATACAATTGATGCTTTCACATGATTGTAAGAACCTGTCGGACGTGGTACCTGTGAACCTCAACATCCGACTTTCCATCCATAGCCCGACTATGGATGAATACGTCATCGAAATAACTCGGCGCGAATTCTCGTACTGGTCTCAACAGATGTGATACACATATGTTGAACGTGGCAGGGGCATTACTAAGCCCTTGTGGCATTACTAGCCATTCCCAGAGCATGCCGCTAGGCGTGCTAACTGCGGTATAGGGTATATCCCGTTCTCGCATAAGGATTTGATAGAAGCCATCCATCAAATCCATGGACGAAAAGATGGTACTCTTTGACATACCATCAATGATTACGTCCTTCCTCGGTATCGGCGTCTGAGCCGGTACCGTTGCAGCATTCAACTTGTTAAATGCATGCACTATCCGCCACCCTCCTGTTGCTTTTCGCACACAGAAGGTCGGAGAGCTATGTGGGGAAGTTGATTCCCTCACATGGCCCGCAGCTAAACGATCGGCAAAGAACTTGTCGATCGCAAGTACTTGTTCACGAGGCAGTGGCCACTGCTTCATGACACAGTACTTCGAGCCTGGTTTGAGCTCGACCTCGTGTCGAATACCTTTATCCTTCGGTAATTCGCACGGAACAGTTTCAGGGAATACATCCTTGAATTCAACCAAATCTTCATAGAGAGGATTTTTCTTGAGCGATTCCCATGATTGGGAGTCATATCGCTCAATTCGTGTCTTTTCATCTAGGACACTCTCGTCCATAGATGAACTACTGAGAACTCTCTCGTTCTCAGTGAACACTGTTGCTGACCTTATGTCGGCTACACACTCGTCGTCAGCGACGAGTATGCATATCTACTTGGCTTTGCCACTACGCAGATCACACAAGAACCTTTTATGTTCGAGCGTTGGCAACTGAGTGATCTCAGAAGTAAACTTCGGAGGCGCAATCAGATCAAGTGTATAAGCGCCTGCACTTGATCCGTTATTGACTATGACATTCAATGTCTCTGTCATTTCCTGGGGACTTATTCCCTCAGGCTTCGAAGGACTTACTCCTTCGGCTTCCCGGGGACTTATTCCCGCGGGTTTCGGGGAACTTATTTCCGCCGTGTTTGTAATCTTGGGACTTATTCCCTATACTTCCTCTAGCTGGGGTTGCGCAATCACAGCGAGATCCTCTACGAAAAACTCTCCAGTCGATCTAGGATTATCGTTTCGCTTAACCTGAGCGATCGATAGTTTCTCTTCTAGATGTTCCCCGCTAGGGATACATCTTTGTCCCAGTCCACCCGACTTATTCGAGTGGTGGACCTTCTGCGCAGCCTGTGTTTCCTCACAGCCGCCGGAACTTTGCTCCGAAGTGTAACCATTTGGTACACTAAGGTTTTGTGCAGTCGTACTAACGACCGTACCACAAGTGTGGCCATCGCACTCACTCGTAGTACATCCACACGCTTGTGGACGCTCCAAAACGTTCATCAGATGGCCATATGATGAACAAGCGGCAGGCATCGTTACTGTTCGATGTTGCCAGTTTACTCGTGGTTCGTACCTTCTGAGCCACGGTATTCCAAGGATGACATCAAATTTGTCATCCAAATCCAATACGATAAAGTCATCATCATATTGGGTATCTTCTAGCGTATAGTGGATCTTCACTATACGCTTCATGACGGTTACGGATGCGCCTGTCGCAAGACGTACCGTCATCCTCGTAGGAGGTGTGTCACATTCACTGTAATTGAAGTGACCATCTTCTAGCGATTGGCGTCGCACAAAATTGTTGGACGCCCCACAATCGACTAGAGCTTGAAGGGACAACTTATTCGTCACTTCGAGTTTCAAGGTAATGAGTGAGACCTCATTACCTAGAGCAGCAACGCACAACGTTTGTGTGTTGGGAGCAACCTTCATCAAGAGGCCTACAAATTCTCTTGACGTTGCTGGATCAGTAGGGTGCTCCGCACCTACTGATCCTGTCCTTCTTTTGACGGTCCATCCCGTGGTTGCGTCTTTGCACCAACAGCGGACCCGCGTCCCTGCCCCTTTCTCATGGGTGGACGGTCACTACGCCCAGTGTTGCGAGACACTGGACGAGGGGCACTACACTCGTAAGCGTAGTGTCCTTTCTTTTGACATCTGTTGCATCTCTGCAACTTCTTGTAGTCTGTAGAGTGAGCCTTCTCGCTCTCTACAAAGCAGAGTTCCATCGGCTCTGGACCTCCGTTGCCATATCGTCTCGGTTGACGATATGATGTCGAGCTGGCGCGAGCCTGTCTCAGACTGAAGTCTTCCTGCTCCGCAATGGAAATGGCTTGTTCTAGTGAATCTAGTTCAAGCCGGAACAGGTGAGTCTTGACGGGACCATCCGCAAGACCCTGCATGAACACCGAAACCAACGTGTGTTCATCCACCGGATTGGAACTTATACAACTCGTGAGATGTCGTATATGTTGGGCGTAAGCGTGCACATCACGCTTACCCTGTTTGAGCTTCAAGAGTTCGGTTCGAGCCCTGAACTCAGCTCTAGGCGGTTCAAACGTTTGTCTGAGCCGCGACTTGAAGACTTCCAACGACCCAAACGCATATGGGTCGTGCAACTTGAGCCCCAGTGCCCAAGTCTTGGCACGTCCTGCCAGATTTGACTGGGCAAATGCAACTTGCATATCCCCGTCGTCGATGCGACGCGCCCTTATGGCGTCATCCAATTTGACGAACCATCTCAAGAGGGAGTCTTCTTCGACTCCCCTATACTTGGAGATGTCAATCTTCAAGGTTTCGGGTCGACGCGAGTGCATCGACCCACCAGCAGCAGCCTGCTGCTGTCTCAACAGTTCAAACTGTTGAGCACCCTGTTCTCTCAACAACTCTGCTTGTTGAGAACCTTGTTGGTGAAGCAAGGCCACTTTCTCGCGTTCTGCGTCAAGTTCAATTTGAATGAACTTGGCGATAGTAGCATGTTGGGCATCTATATTGAGAACCTCTAGCATGACGCTAACAACATGATGCCCATGGTTGAACCCATTCGTTCAACCGCATCCCATTCGACATCGCTCAAATGGGAGTAGCCGTCACGCGTAGCGTGAAAGCTTTGGTCATCTTCATCATCCAACATATTCATGTTGGATGTGAACATGGTCCTTGGACGGACTACAAAGTGCTACCAGGTGTAACGGGGCACCCTGAAGCTTGTACTGGTGACAGTACAAGCTACTTATTCAGATAACAGAATAAGGCGGTGCCTCGTAACTTCACGTACACTCGTACGTGCAGAGGAAGACGGTAAGAAGAAGCGAGTACTCGGTTAGAGTAAAAAGTAGAACTGTATTTATAATAGTCAATGTCTGCAATAAATCACTATTTATCTTCATCTAACTATGTCTAAATACAAATGTGTAAATCAGTTATCTGCTCACCACTCATTGCGTGCGTCTGTCGTGGCGCGTCTTCGTTGGTTGATATAATGGCCTATATCAACCAATTAGGAACTACTCGTAAGTGCTACAGAATATTTGTCCTTATGACACTATTCTGAGAATATAACTCTTATAGTTATATTCTATTAACAATTTCTTATAAATTGCTATGTAACGATTAACCCCGTTACAATACGGTTGTATGTGGTTGTGAGGAGCACGGACCACTACACATTGAAACGACTTCGCTAGGGGCAAGGCCGTGAGCAGGGTGGCACACAGGAAGGCACTTGTCTTCATGGTTTTCTGTCGCTGTGTCTGGAAGCGGAAGAATTGCACAATGAACAGCAGCTTTATTGCTTCAGGAAAGTAACCCCTCTCCATCTATTTGATTGACTACTATAGGGACTCCGCATCTAGAATGTGCCAGCACACCCCTCACGACTCCACGAGCAGTGATGAGCGTGCTACAAACACCGGACTATACAGAACACAAATGCAGCACGTTGCTGCACTGCCATGAGCTGCAAAGAGCGCGTCAAAAAAGGTGGCGGATATAGCATGTTTTCTAGGAATTTAGCAAACAGCATGTCTCACATCTCGGAAACGTAAAGGGCAGGGAGCCGAACACAGCCATGGATCATCAGTGCGTGGAGCATAGCACGCTCTTTGCAATTCGTGGAATTGGAAACGGCTGGCTACGGTTCCTCATGTAAAGTCGTGCATTTCGTGGCGTTACATGGAACGTTCTGCGAAGCTGATTGTCGCAAAAAGGTGGCTACAACGGATAGCCAATGTATATTCGACGAGTCGCAAAGAGGAGACTAAAAATCATTGAAGTGAACCGCTCAAGTACCGTGTAACAGGCTCTCAGTAGCCCAGATGTTTGACCCGAATATTCCGGGCCCCATATGACGTTGCCCACGTGGAGTGAACACGCTCTTTGCATATGGTGGCATCGCATGGAACGTTCTGCAAAGCTGATTGTCGCAAATTGGTGGCTAAAATGGATAGCCAATGTAAAGTTGACGGGTCACAAAGAGGAGACAACAAATCATTGAAGTAAATTGCATAAGTAACATGTAACAGGCTCTCAGTAGCCCAGGTGTTTCACCCGAATATTCCGGATCATAGACGACGTGGCTCATGTAAAGTGAGGACGGGAGGATCCAAGGTCCTTCTTTAATCGACTACCTCTCCTCTCTTTGTATCCTCCTGTACATCATTGCACATAAGAAGTGCATTTGAGTCGTGCTCTACGATTTCACTCATCGTCCATACACAAAAAGTAGTGCCTGCGTGGGATAATCGACATGTGCCATGGTGTACCATATTGGTAGAGCTCAGCGTCACGTGGAAAGCACTTTGGCGATGCGAGGAGCACTGTCGTGTGTTGGATGCCATGTCGCGAGCGTAAGTTTTGTCGTCGTGTAGTTTACAAATATATTGAACAGCGTAACTTCGACACAAGTGGCTTATTACTACTTCTGGGACGTGAGTCGTGGTCTGAAATGACGATCGTCACCGCTGCCCGCCGTTGGCTCCATTAGTGAATCGGATAGGCGTTGTGGTACAACATGAAGTGAGGAAGCGTCAACGAATTGTGAAATCTAATACAGATATTCAGCTCATGTGGTATTGAGCCATTGCACATCGGAGTACTACGCATGATGGTATGGCCGTTAATGAGACATAACAACTACTGTGCTGAGCATATTTTTGGCATAGGCCACAGTCCGATCGAAGAATCAGCGTGAACGTTGTAAGGGCGACAGATGCTGGTATTCAAGTTAACGCAATTTCGACGGGCACGGCGGCTCGAAAGCAGTTGAGCAATGTAACAAGGCACTGTAACGGGGCACCCTGAAGCTTGTACTGGTGACAGTACAAGCTACTTATTCTGATAACAGAATAAGGCGGTGCCTCGTAACTTCACGTACACTCGTACGTGCAGAGGAAGACGGTAAGAAGAAGCGAGTACTTGGTTAAAGTAAAAAGTAGAACTGTATTTATAATAGTTAATGTCTACAATAAATCACTATTTATCTTCATCTAACTATGTCTAAATACAAATGTGTAAATCAGTTATCTGCTCACCACTCATTGCGTGCGTCTGTCGTGGCGCGTCTTCGTTGGTTGATATAATGGCCTATATCAACCAATTAGGAACTACTCGTAAGTGCTACAGAATATTTGTCCTTATGACAATATTCTGAGAATATAACTCTTATAGTTATATTCTATTAACAATTTCTTATAAATTGTTATGTAATGATTCACCCCGTTACAGGCACCCTTTGTCTGGGGTGCCGCGAAACTTCACGTACACTAGTACGTGCTGAGGAAGCTATTCTACTCTAACGACTCGGTCAAGCAAAGAGTAAAAAGAGAACTGTATTTCATAAAGTTAAGCTATCAATATATCTTTAATCTTATCTAAACTACGCCGTCGTATGACGACCACCTGCTCACCACTCATTGCGCGCGTCTAGCAGTGATTACTGGCAGTTTTTGGTTGATATGTCTTTATTACCACTCTGCGAGTAGTGCATGAACATTATCCTAAAAGCGGATACTAATCCTTCAACATTATCCATCTCGGATAAAATTATTGGTAGGGAATTGTCATGCTAGACAGTCTCCCTATTTACACCGTTTAGTGTCAATATCATGTAGCGGGCTACCCCGTTACATCACCAACCCCCTTAACCATCAATCACCCGTTGATTGAATTAGAATGATTGGGACTGGGTGACCACCATTGGATTACTTTAGGAAAAGGAGCACTTGTTGGTCGAATTCCGACTCATTTGCCAATTCATCGCATGGTGCCAAAGTCCATGCGATGTGCTGCCGAAGCAGCAAGAAAAGCGGTTGCACGCATGCGTGCAGCCGAAGAAAAAAAATTCTTGCTTCAGCAGCATGTTAGGCAGCATGTGATGCTTTGCCTGCTGCTGCGACTCAGTAACAGGCGGTGCCTATTGTGAACAGTCTACCTGGTGATTCACCACGTGCGACAGATACATCCGCTACTTCTGCAGAGGGCACCGCGAATCGCAGCCAAGATGAGTCCTAAATAATGGTTTTCTATTCATGCGAGTCAGTTAATGCATGCGACTTGAATGCGACCCGTCACGCCTCTGGATCACCCGGGGCGGACACTGTAACAGCCAGGTTGACTTGCTTCGGGAGACGTGGCAGCATCATGCTCGATATCTTCGGATCGAGCTGTTGTTCCAACGAATCCTCGCCTCACGCAAGTCCATCAGACGACAGGACGCGTGGTGACGGTGGTGCTGCACCTATGCATCACCACGAGCGAAGTAACTCAAGATATAGGGGTAACGCTGGTGCCAGTGCTCATGCTGGCATTAATCAAGAGGCCAGAGATCGAATTGTCCTGCGCCACGCTCCTCAAGTGGAGTTCCCTTGGGTGCCGCCATCCAGAGAGTTGGACCGGTTGACCGGCACGACCGTGCAACACCGGCCGGTCAACCGGTCCAACCTCCGAACGGGATCGAATCTTGTTGTTCGATTGCAGGAAATTTTGCCCACCTGATTCCAGCATGAAAACTATACAAGCTGAGGAAGAGTTCTTCACCGATGCTCTTTTTAAATATCGGTGGTAGAATGGCAACCGCGGTCGTGACGGTAAAGCCTTGGTGCAAGGATGGAATGCCATCATCCTCAACATCGAGTGCATTGGCCGTGAGGCCTGGCTCGGTAAACTTGATGCAGCTTGCATCAGGTTTGAAAAGCGTAACCTAGTCGGTGTACGATAAAAGTTACACCGACTGTCAAGAGAGACAGGATTACCTTGTCTCTCGTGGGGCGATTCGTGTACAGGTTGCCTGGACAATTCGAACCGTGCTCCCAGGGAGGCCTTCCTACCTAATGATCCTTAATGGAGGGCGCACATCTCTTCTGAGATGGCTGAAGGGATTGACACCTTGCAATCCCTGTACTCGCGTTCGGGGAGGTCTTTTTCCGACGGCCCTTCTTCAAACGCAGCGGGTGGGTCTCGTCGTACTGCTCGAAGAGACCAAGGACATCAACAATGAGCTGGGCACAAGGCTCCCAGCTTTCCCACGCCGGTGGATAGCCACACCAGCGGACGAGGTAACTCGTCCGGACGCCATTCACCTCGCGGTGGTTCAAGATGTGCTCCACCAGAAATCGTTGACAACTGCCAGAATCCACCAAAGGATGCGGTGGCGGCGGGAACACCTGATCCGGCTCGAGGGTCGGATCAACTTGATGCTCAAGAGCTGAGACGCGTAATGGAACAGTTACAAGATGACCTGGCTCATGACGAACTCGGCGTTGTGTGCTTGAAGATCTTGTAGGGGATAATTACAATTCCCTAACGCACGATCGTTCGGACGATCGTGCCGCTTTTGCGTTCGCGCAGCTTGAGAACGAACGTTCGACTCGTTCTCTTCGTGACGAGCTGGCTGTATCTCGCTGAGACATCGCTGAACTGCGTAAACAGGTCGCTTCGCTAGTCAACCAGACTGGCTCATTGAAACGGGACCACTCGAAGGTGGTCTCGGCTCTCGACCGCGGAGGTGTTCTTCTCATCCCGAAACAAGCTTGTACTGATAGTACGGGCAGAGACGACCGACGTAAAACGTAGGATGTGTACGCATTTTAAGGGGCAGTTCAATCGTGTATGCGTTGCCCATTTGGCGCAACACGCGAAATGGACCGATGCACCTGGGCAGTAGTATACTGCTGTCCACGTTTATCACTGCGTGTTTCGGTATCTTTACTGCTGACAGTAAAACCAAATCTGCTTCATTAAACGAAAGAACACGTGCTCTTTCATGTTTGTCTGCGTTTCTCTTCTGTCTGTCTAATGCATCGGCAATAGAGTCTTGAACGAAGCGGACAACCGCTCCGCGAGTCAGCAGAAATTCCTATGCTGATTCATCCTTGTCAACAGCAGTGCGCTTCGTGTGCACTTCTGAAAGGACGTTGTCTTTACCAATGAGGGCGTCATCTTCCTCACTGTGGCAGTCGTTGGCGATGCTGAACATACCAGCATCATCTTCATCATCTTCATCGGTGTGGATGCAATCGACATCGACATCCATCACTTCGAAATCATTGTCGACGGGTGATGAGCAAGAACCAGATCGGTGTTTAGTTTGAACCATTCCCCCCCTGGAAACTAGAGTCACAGTTTAAGAAGGCGAGTAAACGTGGATGGTGTAGGCCATTCACGAAGAACGGTGTATGCGTTGTCGACGCGTGCACCGAGTTGTTGATGGCAGATTCCGCCATCGACAAGAATTCACTTCAACTCGTAAACGAGTGGACGTACCCTCGAAGTATTTCTTCGAGGAAGCGATTGGCGCGTTTTGTTATAGCGTCTGTTCAGGATGGTCAGAAGTAGATATCTTCAACCGTGCTCCAAGTGAACGGAACACGGATTGCCAGAACTCCGCTGTGAAGCGGAGGTTTCTATCAGACACGAGTTCACGGGGTAACCCATGGAGTCGGAAGATAGTATCGATGAAAACACGCGCACAGCCCTGGGCTGTGATCGATTGCGGTACCGAAACAAGGTGTACAATCTTGCTGAACCGATCAACAAGCACAAGAATACCTGTATTCTTGTGAGCGTCTTTGGGAAACAAAAATACGAGGTCCATCAATAGGGACTGCCATCCCTCTGCTAAAATTGGTAGAGGCTGCAAGGATGCACGGATGAAGACTAAGCTTCATCTCTGGAAAAAAATTTCAAGCAAGGATTTACTCGCGCACGGACTCATACTTGCGGGGCCAGTAGAAGTCACGACTTATTTTGAAATACGTCTTTTCTCTACCGTGATGCCCACTTGTTGGGGCACCGTGACACTCATACATAAAGCGCAATCGCAAATCATCATGAGCGGGACGACGACACGAGGTGTGTCTCCGTTGACTGCTGTACAGTACAGCAGTCCATCACGATCCGAATACCGTAAGGTTAAAGTGCGGTATTGAGACATCAAGCTTTTCAAGCTTGAATGCATGGATTGGATACGTAATCCATCAATTGCAGAAGAGACGCATCTTCGGCGTATGCTTTTCGCACACCTTCGAGTAGATTCGATGACGGAACGATCACTGTTAGTGTAGCGACAGTGGGATCACCCTTACTATCGGGTTGAGCAGATGGCTTAAAATCGGGCCTACGTGAAAGAGCATCAGCAACGACATTAAGTCGTCCTGGTTTACACTCGACGGAGAAGTTGTACATCGCGAAGAAAGACAGCCTCCTCGCCATTCGTTGCGAGAGATGTGGAATTTTTATGGCCGTGCGCAACGATGCATGGTCGGTATAAACGATGAAGGGCCTATCTCCTAAGAGGTATACCCGAAACTTAGCCGGTGCATATTTCATGACAAGGAGTTCCTTTTCATGCAACGAATAATTACTCTCAGCTGCCTGCAGCTGACGCGATTAATAACAGACGACGCGCTCAACGCCGTCTGGGTCGTACTGCATAAACGCGCAGCCAATTGCGAAATCGCTGGCGTCACCGACCATGTGGAATGGTCTTTCTTGGTCTGCAATCGCCAACACAGGCGATTGTATCAATCTTTTCTTGATACCTTCGAAGAAGTGCTGACACTCAGCACTCCATGACTACATCTCATTTTTCTTTAACAGGCGAGAGAGATTTACGGTCATCTCGGCGTAGTTGCGCGAGTATTTGTGCAAGTACGCCGCCAAGCCAAGGAACTTTCAAAGTCCGTTGATGTCGACTGGCATAGATCAGTCGCTAACCGCCTTGATCTTTTATGGATCGGGGCGTACACCATTTCTACCCACGATGCAGCCAAGAAGTGATATTTTGTTTGCTGCGACGATACACCTCTTGAGGTTTGCGAACAACTTATACTCTCGCATATGTGCAAGAAACTTCCGGACGTGGATTTTTGAACCTCCACATTCGTCTTTCACTTTATATCCTTGCTGTGGACGAAGACATCATCAAAGTAATTCGGCGCAAAATCTCGCACCGATCACAACAGATTTGTAACACATCTGTTAAACGTTGCGAGGGCGTTACTTAGCCCCTGTGGCATCACTAGCCAGTTCAAGAGCATACAGCTGGGGGTGCTAACTGCTGTGTACGGGATGTCCCGTTCACGCATGATGGTCTGACATAATCCATCCATCAGATCCATGCACGAAAATATGGTACTTTTTGCCATAACATCGATGATGACGTCCTTTCTTGGTATCGGCGTTTGAGCCGGTACCGTTGCAGCGTTCAATTTGTCGAACGCGTGCACTATCCGCCACCCTCCTGTGGACTTTCGCACACAGAAGTTCGGAGAGCTGTGTGGGAATGTTGATTCCCTCACATGACCAGCCGCTAATCGATCGGCAAAGAATTCGTCGATCTCTGTGACCTGTTCACAAGGTAGTGGACACTGCTTCATGACACAGTACTTCGAACCGGGTTTCAGTTCGATTCCATGCCGAGTGCCTTTTTTGCCCTTAGGAAACTCGCATGAAAAGGATTCAGGGAAACTATCTCTGCATTCGACCAAATCCTTGTACAAAGGATTTGTCTTCAAAGAATACCAAGATTGAGACTTGTATCGCTCAATCCGGGTCTTCTCATCGAGGACACTCTCGTCCATCGATGAGCTACTGAGAACCCGTCCGTTCTCATCAAACACTTGTGCCGGCCGAATATTGGCGACGTAGTCGTCCTCTGTGACGAGTACGCTGATATGCTTGATCTTGTCACTACGCAGATCTCGCAAGGATCTTTTAGATTCTAGCGTTGGCAACTTGGTTACCTCCGAAGCTGACTTTGGAGGTGTAACCAGATCAGGTGTAGAAGTGCCTACACTTGATCTGTCATTCACCAAGACATTCACTGTATCGGTGATTTCCTGGGAAAAAACATCCGCAGGTGGTTAGGGATCCACACCCTCAACATAACTCTCTTGGGAGTTATTGCTCTCAGGAACGCTGGAACTTTCTTCCAATGTGTACTGACTGTGGTTGTACTACCACAGTCACGTCCTCTTCGATCGAATCTCTTTCAGTCGATCAGGCTTGCTCAACGATCGACTCGCTGATAGTCGATCTCGCTTCAACGTGTTGTTCATCCTGAACAACACTGACCTCTATTCTTGAATGCACCCTTCTTGGTGTGCATCCGCGTTCCAGTCCACTCGATCTCTTCGAGTGGTGAACCTTTGGCGCATCATGTGTCTCTACACAGGTGCCGAAAGCTGGTTCCACAGTGTAGTGGGATTCTACACTGTGATCTTGTGCAGTCATACTAACGACCGTACCACAAGTGAGGTCATTGCACTCACTCTTAGTACATCCACACGCTTGTGGACGCTCCAAGACGTTCATCAGATGGCCGTCCGATGAACAACGGCAGGCATCTTCACGGATCGATGCTGCCAGCTAACCCATGGCTGGTACTTTCTAAGCCAAGGCAGACCAAGGATGACATCAAATTGGTCATCCAAATCCAATACGATAAAGTCGTCATCGTACTGCTTTCCTTCTAGCGTGTAGTGGATTCCCACTACACGTTTGTTCACTGCTACGGATGCGCGTGTAGCAAGGCACACCGTCATCCTTGTTGGAGGGAACTCTCGCTCAACATAGTTGAGTCTACTATCCTCTAGCGACTGGCGTCGAATAAAACGGTTCGATGCCCCACAGTCAACTAGGGCGCGAAGTGACATTCCACTTGTCACTTCGATTTTTAAAGTGATGAGGTGTCCCTCATCACTAGGGGCAGTAGCATACAGCGACTGCGCGTTGGGAGCAATCTTCGTCAAGAGTCCAGCAAATTCTCTTGACGTTGCTGGATCAGCAGGGTGCTCCGCGCCTACTGACCCTGACCGTTTTTTTTGACGGTCCAACTTGCTGTCGCGGCTTAGTGACATGGTTGGACTCGCGGCTTGGACTTTTCCTTGGCCAACTGTGGTCATCTCGTCCTGTCTTTGGACGTGTTGCGGTGCTTAAGACACTAGACTCATTAGCGTAGGGTCCGATCTTCTGACAGCGATAGCATCTTGCCGTTCGCTTGTGACTCAGAGATCGATTGTTCTCGCTCTCGATATGACAGACGTCCATCAGTTCAGAGACCTCCTGTTTCCCGCCGTCTTGTCCGACGATAGATTGACGAGTTAGCCTGAGACTGTCTCAGACTGAAGTCTTCTTGTTCCACATTCGCTATCACCTTTTCCAGCATATGAAAGTCGTCTTGAAATATGTAGGTCTTCACCGGTCCATCTACAAGGCCGTAGATGAAAACGTTGATGAGTGTGTGCTCATCGACAGGGTTTTCTGTAACGCTACTCGCAAGGTAGCGTTGGTGCTGTGCGTAAGCGTGCACGTCACGCTTACCGTGCTTGAGCCTCAAGAGTGCAGAGCGTGATCTGAACTTGGCTCGTGGTGGCTCAGACGTTTCTTTGAGTCGAAAATTCAAGACCTCTAACGACTCAAACACGTTTGGGTCGTGAAGCTTGAGCCCTAAGGCCTAAGTCTTTGCTCGTCATGTGAAAGTTGACAGAGCGAAGGTGACTTGCGTCTCGTCACCCTTGATGTGAAGGGCCCTAATGGCGTCGTCGAACTCCACGAACCATCTCAAAAGGGAATCTTCATCGGTTCCCTGGTACCTTGAAATATCAATCTTCAAGGTTTCGGGTCGACGCATGTGCGTCGGCCCGCCCATCGACTGATGAGAGCCTTGCTGTTGCAGCAAGGCTATCTTCTGTCTTTCGACGGCAATTTCCCCTTGTAGGAACTTGTTGATAGCAGAATGCTGCTGGTCTCTTCTGAAAGAATCCAACACGCCACTGATGGTGAGTTTGTCCATGAGTACACTCATGCAGCCTACTACCTCCCATTCTGAGTCACTCGGATGGGAGTAGCCTTCACGTGTGACGTGAAAGCTGTCGTCTTCTACGTCCAACATGTTCATGTTGGACGGGCACTAAGTAGTCGTTGGACGGTCTACGAAGTGCTACCGGGTGTAACGGGACACCCTTTGCTTGGGGTGCCACGGAACTTCACGTACAATAGTACCTGCAGAGGAAGCTATTCTTCTTGAACGACCCGGTCAAGTAACGGTAAAAAGAGAACCGTATTTAATATAGTTAAGCTATCAGTATAACTTCAGTCTGTATTGAACCATATTAATCTACAGTGTTGTATGACGACAAACTGCTCACCACTCATTGCGCGCGTCTAGCAGCGATTGCTGGCAATCTTTGGTTGATGTGTTTCATATTACCCACTCTGTGAGCAGCGCATGAACATTATCCTAAAAGAGGATACTAATCCTTCAAATTTATCCTTCTCGGATACAATTATTAATAGGGAATTGTCACGCTGGACAATCTTCCTATTGACAGCGGTTGGTGTCAATACCAAGTAACAGGGTAGCCCGTTAGATGACCTACCTGAGCTCATAGCACCTCGGATCACCCACGTCGTTAAACCGAATTTTAGGTCGCACGTTTCTTCACCCCGATCGATGGTTATCGTATCTTTGGACAAGCTTGACGCTCTCTGTAAATGTGAATAATTGAGCGATCGGGCCCAAGTTAATCTTATTGTTTTTTTCATCAATCTTTTCCTGACTTATTTGAATTTGTTATTTCTTCAAAATCTCCAAATTAATGCTCATTGTTTGCATAGCTAAATAGAAGATTGTCTTTAAATTACGCTTCGAAGATCGGTACTCCGTCGTATCGTGAGACCTCTCCGTCTAGCGTCAAAATTTACGAGAGGTAGAGAGCACGCATACACTTATGACTAATTAAGATGACGTGGACGTACGCACACAGAATGTATGTGTCTTACCTAAGATCTTAGTGATGGCAAGTTGGAGATACAAATTGTACGGCGGATTGTGATGGGGACGTCGACGACTGCGAAAACGACAACTAACGTGACAACACTTGTCGCGACGACAAAGGTGACGACAAAACAACCACAAAATTGAGGACATTGACAACAAATATCAAGATAACAAGAACGATGATCGGATGGTAGAGGGTATTGCTCGGAAATTCTCGATCGCAACCACTAAGTCTGCGTCGCACCAGTCTCGGCAAACCTGATCACCTTCGCGTGATGGATATCATTGTTCTCAACGATCCATATGAGAACGATGCAGCCCCACTTTTGCACCTCGCAGCAAATAAACTGTTGACCAACATTTACAATGGTCGAAACTTACTTTTTACTTCAAGCTTTTAAAGTGTCTTTCTATTCATTTTAATGTTCCATTCTACAGTTGAATTAGATAGATTCGTCATTATCATTGTCCTATGCAGCTTGACTTCTGCTGCATCAATCTGGACACGTTGTCGTCAAGCGTGTGCAAATTGCCCGTAGCTGATGAAAAGCTACTGATAACGGTCGTGACCATCTGTGTTCAGCAGTTGCACACGAATCACCTTATTGGACACACTTATACCTTTTTTAGTGGCTGCTTCATCAGTTAAAATTTAGTGTTCGGAGGCAGCGTTTAGCCCGTCCCATGGACCACGTCGTCTGTAATCCGGAATATTCGTGTGAAACACCTGGGCTAGACGCATATTACATTTTACTTGAACATTTACTTCAATTATTTGTAGTCTTCTTTTTGGAATTACGCCACTTTACGTAGACTACCCACTGTAGCCACCTTTTTCGACAATCCGCGTCGTAGTACTTTCCATGCGACTCTTAATTTGCGAAGAACGTGCTCACTAGGTCTGTCTAAACAACCTCTTATAATAGATTACCTGTCTTCTCTAGTTTTTTTCCGTTACAACATAGGATGTAAATAGTTAAAACAACCTTGCCCGTTTCATGACAACGACACCAAACGCTGTCAATAGGAAGATTGTCCAGCGTGACAATTCCCTATTAATAATTGTATCCGAGAAGGATAAATTTGAAGGATTAGTATCCTCTTTTAGGATAATGTTCATGCGCTGCTCACAGAGTGGGTAATATGAAACACATCAACCAAAGATTGCCAGCAATCGCTGCTAGACGCGCGCAATGAGTGGTGAGCAGTTTGTCGTCATACAACACTGTAGATTAATATGGTTCAATACAGACTGAAGTTATACTGATAGCTTAACTATATTAAATACGGTTCTCTTTTTACCGTTACTTGACCGGGTCGTTCAAGAAGAATAGCTTCCTCTGCAGGTACTATTGTACGTGAAGTTCCGTGGCACCCCAAGCAAAGGGTGTCCCGTTACACCCGGTAGCACTTCGTAGACCGTCCAACGACTACTTAGTGCCCGTCCAACATGAACATGTTGGACGTAGAAGACGACAGCTTTCACGTCACACGTGAAGGCTACTCCCATCCGAGTGACTCAGAATGGGAGGTAGTTGGCCGCATGAGTGTGCTCATGGGCGAACCCGCGATCAGTGGTATGTTGGATTCTTTCAGAAGAGACCAGCAGCATTCTGCTATCAACAAGTTCCTACAAGGGAAAATTGCCGTCGAAAGACAGAAGATAGCCTTGCTGCAACAGCAAGGCTCTCATCAGTCGATGGGCGGGCCGACGCACATGCGTCGACCCGAAACCTTGAAGATTGATATTTCAAGGTACCAGGGAACCGATGAAGATTCCCTTTTGAGATGGTTCGTGGAGTTCGACGACGCCATCAGGGCCCTTCACATCAAGGGTGACGAGACGCAAGTCACCTTCGCTCTGTCAACTTTCACATGACGAGCAAAGACTTAGGCCTTAGGGCTCAAGCTTCACGACCCAAACGTGTTTGAGTCGTTAGAGGTCTTGAATTTTCGACTCAAAGAAACGTCTGAGCCACCACGAGCCAAGTTCAGATCACGCTCTGCACTCTTGAGGCTCAAGCACGGTAAGCGTGACGTGCACGCTTACGCACAGCACCAACGCTACCTTGCGAGTAGCGTTACAGAAAACCCTGTCGATGAGCACACACTCATCAACGTTTTCATCTACGGCCTTGTAGATGGACCGGTGAAGACCTACATATTTCAAGACGACTTTCATATGCTGGAAAAGGTGATAGCGAATGTGGAACAAGAAGACTTCAGTCTGAGACAGTCTCAGGCTAACTCGTCAATCTATCGTCGGACAAGACGGCGGGAAACAGGAGGTCTCTGAACTGATGGACGTCTGTCATATCGAGAGCGAGAACAATCGATCTCTGAGTCACAAGCGAACGGCAAGATGCTATCGCTGTCAGAAGATCGGACCCTACGCTAATGAGTCTAGTGTCTTAAGCACCGCAACACGTCCAAAGACAGGACGAGATGACCACAGTTGGCCAAGGAAAAGTCCAAGCCGCGAGTCCAACCATGTCACTAAGCCGCGACAGCAAGTTGGACCGTCAAAAAAAACGGTCAGGGTCAGTAGGCGCGGAGCACCCTGCTGATCTAGCAACGTCAAGAGAATTTGCTGGACTCTTGACGAAGATTGCTCCCAACGCGCAGTCGCTGTATGCTACTGCCCCTAGTGATGAGGGACACCTCATCACTTTAAAAATCGAAGTGACAAGTGGAATGTCACTTCGCGCCCTAGTTGACTGTGGGGCATCGAACCGTTTTATTCGACGCCAGTCGCTAGAGGATAGTAGACTCAACTATGTTGAGCGAGAGTTCCCTCCAACAAGGATGACGGTGTGCCTTGCTACACGCGCATCCGTAGCAGTGAACAAACGTGTAGTGGGAATCCACTACACGCTAGAAGGAAAGCAGTACGATGACGACTTTATCGTATTGGATTTGGATGACCAATTTGATGTCATCCTTGGTCTGCCTTGGCTTAGAAAGTACCAGCCATGGGTTAGCTGGCAGCATCGATCCGTGAAGATGCCTGCCGTTGTTCATCGGACGGCCATCTGATGAACGTCTTGGAGCGTCCACAAGCGTGTGGATGTACTAAGA